ATCAAGACGTCATTTCACGTCGGTGCAAGTTGCTGCTGGCTCAGAATCACCTAACTCCAATGGTAACTTTACAAAGATTCGTGGTTTTCGCTCCACAGGTCAGTGCGCCCACTTTCTCTCAGTCCGGTCCCCCCTCCCCTCCCACCGGTACCCGAGCCGTGGATTCTCCTTCAGTCCATCTCGTATGTTTCGGTTACGATATCCGCTGCAGTATGTGAGCGGATTAATTTGTGGAGTTTCTTATCAGTGCGGCGTTTTTTCTCAACACTTTCATTGTTAAATAATTAAAAATAAGGTCATTGCAAAAATTTTCTGTTGATGATGTTTTAGTTCCGCGTTTTCTCCGCTGGTTTTATCCATTTAAAGGCTTTTGTTACCGCTTTATGCATTTATTTTTGATGCATGATTCTATTCTTAAGAAAATTTCGAACTCATACGCTCCTTTAAAGCCTAATACTCACCCCCCCCCCCCCCCCCNATCTGATGTAATTTTTTTCCACTGTCAGTTAAACGCAGCGTTAAGACTATACCAATACACTTTGTTCGTAGTTTCCCCCTTTTTTTCATTGCTAAAAAGCAGAGCATTTTCATTCTTCTTATTTCACCGGGAGCTTGAATATTAGTCCACACTTTTTTCTCTTTCTTTTTTTGACTATTATGATAAGTGGACATTTAAATTTAATAATTGCTTGAAAATGGCTGGGATTCACTCGGTTCTCGTCACGGGAGCTTGGCGCGGCATCGGTTTGGAATTTACGAAACAATTTTTGACCAACCCTGATTTCCGGGCGGAAATTGTCATTGCAACATGTTTGGTACCCGCAGAGGCTAAGGTGAGTCCTTTCTATTTCTCGCATTGTACCGTCCTATTGGCTTTAATTCAACTGGCGAGGCGTGAATGATCAATTATTGTTTCCTTATTTGAAGCTATGGTAAAGAATCGATTATTGAGGTGTTCATTTCAAATACCCTGTACCCTGTATATCAATCCTTTTCCATAGGTTTAAATGGCAGATCAATCAATATATCGCAAAACACACCACGCCTTTGAATTCCCACGCTTCGGATTAATTAACGCCTTTTTATGGAAACTTCTACATGCTGGCTGAATAAAATTTCAATGCTGAAACTACAGAACAAAGCACCACAGCTAGAAATCAGATAATGAAATAAATAAATATAACTTTATATTTTTATACCGATACAGTACAATTATTTTTCAATTTTCAATGTTGCAGAAGTCCTCTGTGATATTTTAATGTTTTGATGGACAATCAATCGTTATTGCAAAAAATTAGATTTTCCCCTCTGTTTTTTGCCCTTTCCAAGAATATCCTCTGAGTATCCTATGCATGAATGTATCGAAATGCTCCTTTGAAAAATTATTCTGGGGCGAGAATTTTGAATTATCGCAAATTAGATAATGGTTTATTTGCATCGATAATATACAATGAATAAAAAACAACTGGGCAAACAAGGCTGAAATCAGAATATAAACACAACCAGGATGTTTTGGTCCAAGTAAATGCCCATTCTCAACTGGAACAAAAGCTAAAATTTAAAAAAAATGAAAACAAGAAAATGAGCATGCAACAAACCAAAGTAGAAATCAGTGTAAACTGAGAAACAGAGCAAACGATGGATATAGAGGTCAGCCTCTACACCCACCGTAGAATCCCTGGTAAAAATTAGCGATAAGAGCTGCGTTTCAAAATACCATAGGAATTCTTATAGCCACCTAAAGAAGGCTACAGAAAATAATGGATGTGCAGACATTTAAAAATCATGAGTTGAATAACGCTGACTCCGCCAGATTAAATATTAGAGCCTAACACAAAGCGGAGCGGCGACGCACTGGTTCCTACAAACCTAACAGGGATACTTCACGCATTGCGTAATGCGTGAAGTATCCCCGTTAGGTTTGTAGGCGCCAATGCGCTTTTCGCGCTGGCTGCCCGATGCCCGCCCGCCGCGCCGCGACGCAGCATACCACGGCGCTTGAAGCAACTATTTCACACCAGAGGTGTTGCACAGTATCATACGAAATTGAAGGCGTTCCAACATATTAAGAATGGCAGGCATCCTTCAAAAGTACGGAGCTTTCCTCGCAAAATAAATCAAGATACTACGGCCCAAAAAGAGAGCGGTAGTCCAAAAACTCACTAAGTCCTAGCATCCGTAATTAGTAGCGTTTAGCATACACTTTATCTTCGGGCTGTTGCTTAATCGCCATCGGCCATAAAAGGCGAATAAAGAATAAAAGCAATTGTGTAGCCGGCTATAGAAGCTATTGGAAATCTTACAGCCGGCTGCTGGTCTATGGTATTTTGGAACACAGATTCTACTGCCAATTTTTACCAGAGATATCTATTGAGGCTCTTCTGAATCACAAAAAAACTGATGATAGGAAGCACTTAATCCATCTATGTCAGCCCTAAAGTTGCATAGTTCACCTTTATTCTCATCTCATCCAAAGATTTGAGGGCATTTATACTTCACAGCCATGTTACTTCTTACAGATCTTCCTTGGTGTTTTCTTAAAACTTTTAAAATCCATTGTTGTAGACTTGAAGAAAGGAAGCACCAATAAAGAAGAAGACTTGATTATTGATCACCATTTTTAGTTTTCATCACTATTATCGTCATTCTTTCATCTGACAAATATCACCATAATTCTTATTTCCTCAAGGTATGGTAATTTGATCGATCTTATGCTGATTCTTTTTTAGGATTTACTTGAACTTCAGGAGAAACATTCTGCTTTGCATATTCTTGAACTTGGTGAGCGTCATTTTATAAATTCAGTTGCATCAGACTCTCTCAATGTATGTGTCTTTTTTCTGTATTTAACTTCGATTTAATTGAATTCTTTCCAAAAATGCTTAATCATATCTTTTATGAGCAACTATAACCTTGTGCAAGGAAGAACCTCTATTAAAAAATGAAAGGAATAAGAGTCTTTTGGTATTGCATTGATATGGCAAATTGGCAACATTGCTTTCTCTGGAATGAAATGAATCGATTCTTGGAAGGGCAAGGTGCTCCGACAAGTATCGATTATTCAACATATATTCATATTCATATAGTATCTTTCATGAGTGACTTTAACCTTGTGTAAAGAATATACCCTATTAAACATGAAAGGAATAAGAGTAAATAAAGTGCAACAGCTGAGCCGAGGCGCCGATAATAGTCATATTTTCCTACTGTAGAGACCGTCATGGTAACGTTTTGTGTGCGATTTAACTCTAATATGGTTTTTTATGAGAGAGTATTTTAAAGTGTTGCATCGAGAAACGTCAATATTTTTGATGAGAGCGACTCTCAGTAAGTTTCGTTGTACCAACTCTGTTTTACTTCGAATTTTGATGGATAAACACATCATTATGCTTGAATTTGCACCTTTTCTACTAGGCTATCAATAACTATCCATATAGGTAAAATGAGTTATTTTTTTTTTTCGTGTGATGCATGCAAATCTGCCCATCTAAAAAGGTTCCTTTTACCAATTTCCAGACGTGACAAAATTCGACACTTTTAACGAGTTGGTGAATAAAGTGCAGGCCATAGTCGGTCACAGAGGCCTAACACTACTGATCAATAATGCAGGAATCGGAAGTCCCATGCACAAACTTGAAAGCATTGACGCTGATCGGTATATTTCAGTTCTGAAGACGAACACCGTCGGTCCAGTTCTTCTGACAAAAGTAAGCATATACGTAGAAATGGGCCTGTTGCATGCAAGAGATACAGAATGACGAATTTTTGTCTTCGATTCTCAGTTTTCAGCGAGTAAAATAGAAACTGTTTATGGATAGTTAGGTTTTTCTTCCAAGGCAAAATAAGTTGCATGATCTTCGCAACATTGCACTACTCCTGGTTCCTTTTTGCAAAATGCAATTCAAATTAGTGAATGGGCCTGTTGCATGCAAGAGATACAGCCGCGCGAATAGACTTTTTAGAGGTTAAATGACACGAAAATTACGATGGTCACATTAAAAAAGTCTGAAATACAATCCTTTCTGCGCAATTTGCGTTGTCAGGAACGCGCTTCTTCAAATTTCCCGCGTCTGGGGGCAGTTTTCTAATCACCGGAAACGAGCAAACGGCGGGCTCGGCGATTTCCGGAAGATGCCAAGTCGTTGTTGTTGTTGTTGTTGTTGTTGTTATTTTTTCCTTCAGTTTGTTTACAAACCCAACGTGATCTCTTATAGTGGTCCATATACGCTTTATGCGGTAACCAAATCGACCAACTTTTCAATATCCAACGCAATCCTTCTACATTTCATTTCACGATATCACGAGCTCCGATTTTTAGGTTATGGTGTTAGTTATAGTGTACCGGAAATAGCCGCGAGTTGCCGTTAATTGCTTCCGTTAGAAAACTGCCCCCAGACGCGGGAAATTTGAAAAAGCGCGCTCCTAACAACGCAAATTGCGCAGTAAGGAGTCTATTTCAGACTTTTTTAACGTGACCATCGTAATTTTCGTGTCATTTAACCTCTAAAAAGTCTATTCGCATTCTACTCGCTGAAAACTGAGAATCGAAGACAAAAATTACCATGTAAATTTCATATTTTTTCATGATCTCAGTTATTTTACTGCAAAGGATGAAGTTGCATAATTTTAGCAACGTTCCTGGTTCTGATTGCGAATTTTCAAGATTTATTCGTTCATTCACAAATTTTATGAATCTGAGAATATGGTTTAAAGTAGTTCCTTTTGCATTACATTTTGCAATTAGTAACTATAATCTCTATGGCTCAGCCATTAAAGCACCTATCTGAATGGGGAAACTAATGGCTTGTATGCTGCTCCTAAAATGAGCCCGAAATAGTTAATGTTAGCAAATCAGTCCTCAATCGAAAAATGCATCAAAGTTTCTGAGATTGCTCGAAACGCCGCGGCAATTCTGACTTTGCGAAAGTTCCTCTGAAAAAACACAAATTTCGTAAAAAAAATTGTCGATTTTTTATTTGAATTTTACAGATGATTTCATGCGTGACTCAATCTGGTATACATTCGTGCGGATATTTATTTTAACATTGCAAGGGGGAAAAAAGCAGGGGTTATTTCAAGCAAGTATTTTATTCGGGGGATCCAGAAACATCCGAATGCCCTTATAGTGCATTCCTCTGAGCATACCAGAATAAGGAATTAGATTTATAATGCTAAAGCACGGAATTATACAGTGTGATCCAAAAATCCCGCACCTTTCCTAAAAACGTCAGAAATTTTGACCCTTTTTTAGAGAGGTCCACTTAAAATTTTGGGTATGGGGGTCCCGAGAGTCCTTGTCTTTGCCTGAGGAGCACTCAAGTTTCTATCTCACTTTGTTTAAAAGTTACAGAGGTATAGTGCCTGGTCCTAGTGGTGCGGGAGTTTGGAACCACCCTGTATAAATGGACGACAAAGCTCACCTCCAAATGCAATCACGCTTTTGCGACAAAGGAGTGACAATTATTATTATTGTATTTTTCTTTTTTTTCTATTCAAGGCTTTGCTTCCTTTGCTGAGGCAATCTGCATCAGTAAATGCCGCACGATGTCATGATCGTAAGTATGGAGGTGATCCAATCATGTAAACCTAAATCATCCGACGACAAAAATACTTAATGCTCTTGAGAACATGAGAAAGTGTTTAGCATCAGTAGCTGAAAAGTAATACCTTCAACGGTATTTTGCTGTAATGAACAATTTGAGTTTCCATTATAAGGCGCATTTTGCTCTGCTGAAATGTATTGCATCTGATAAGGGTAAGGCGCCCTTTCGGAGAGAATGTCACAAATTGTATGCAACGTTACCATACATCACACATGAGATATTATTTATTTAACAGGAAATCCGCTAGTACAATTAATTTAAAAATTTTACAAAATTCAAATGATATGAAGGAAATTCAGTGAAATGTTCTGACAGATTCTTCCAATAGTTTTCCTGTATATAAAGATCCAGCAAGGATAATTATTTTACCACGTTTTATGCACGAAGCTTTTCATACCCTGACACAAAATATGAACGCCTTGATGCAACTATTCATGATTTATGGACGGCCAATTGGGCGAATTTCTATCAAACGGAACTATGAATTATGACGTGAGCCCTGTTATGCATATATGCTTATGGGTCTTAGGGCTCATGTCTTAATGCACATAGTTCCGTTTGATAGAAATACGTCCAATTTTGTACTGCCGCCTTACGCCATTGTTGCGCATCATTCAATTTTCCAGATTGATATCTATAGCTTTAACCGCTATATGTGTCCGACTCCTCGTGCACCATTCAGTATGTGAACTAGAGGTCAATAATGAAGAACGAGTATAATTACAAACTTGCAGTTTGCAGTTTTCTTTTCTGAGAGAACAATAATGTGACAAACATCCTCATGACAAGTTGCATATATGGTGAAATGAAGGCATTCCAGCTATTCGTTTTCAAGGAATGATGAGATGTACTCTAATGAACGAGAGCATTGGAAAGTTTAGCCAAAATCAGCCATTCTCTGTGTGGCTCCAGTCGAAAATGTGTCTTTCTATTGAGACGTGTAAAAATATCTGACTACATTTTGCTATTCATAAGAAAAGAGGCCAAGATAAATTTTTAAATTTTCTGGGAATACTTGTAAATAAAGAGAGAAAAATTCACAGAAAAGTTCCAAGAGCACAAATAATGTAATCACAAAATTTCAAGACTGAATGGGGCTTTACATGATTTCTTTGTAAAATAATAAAACCTAAGTAGAGATTAAGCAATAGCTATGATGTAACTAAGCAAAACGAATTTACTGAATTGATCTATTAGATGTTGATCTATTGTGTGTATACGAATGAACATTACGATGTACAATAAAAAACAATTTAAAAAGCGGGTTACAAGGCTAAAATTTCACATACACAAACCAAAACGTTTCGGCTGAAAATTCAGCCATCCTCAGTTGGATAAATCAAAATAAAAATGGTTACAAATCTAAAATAGTACCTAATAAGCACCTTTCATTGGGAATGTTGTTATTGTGACCCTATGTTGCTGTTATGTAGCAGTTGGTAGTATGTACGAGTAGTGATATATTTGTAATATCGGAAAAACTAAGGACGATGGAAAAGAGAAGTGCACGAGTTGCGTGACATAACGACAGAGTATATTGATAAAGATACAAACTTGCCCAGCAGGCCTGACACCTAAGTAGTGACAATATCACTACTCGTACATACTACCAACTGCTACATAACAGTTGTCATAATGACAACATTCCCAATTGAAAGGTACTTATTAGGTACTATTTTAGATTTTTAACCATTTTTATTTTGATTCATCCAACTGAGGATGGCTGAATTTTCAGCCGAAACGTTTTGGTTTTGTGTATGTAAAATTTTAGCCTTGTTACCCGCTTTTTAAATTGTTTTTTATTGTATATCTTGTCCCGGTCTGCACATCTATCATATTTCATTAAAATTAAGGTGCTTTGACGGTTGCCATTTTTGTGTCAGAGCGACGTGCGATATATCGCATCAATTTGTTCCATAATTTTAGCTACTTGTCATTTTTTTCGAATTTTGAGATAGCACTTCTGTTGTCATCAGACTAAAGAATTCATGTACCAAATTTGACAAAAAATTCAACGTATTAAAGGCAGGGGTTTTCAGAGGAAAAATATTGCATTCGAATGCAGTTTCGATATCATTATCGAATGTGGTATTTTTCCTCTAAAATACCCTGCTTTTATTACGTTGAATTTCTTTGTCAAATTTGGTACGTGAATTCTTTAGTCTGATGACAACGGAAGTGCGATCTTTAAATTCGAAAAAAATGACAAGTAGCTGAAATTATGGAACGAATTGATGCGATACATCGCACGTCGTTTTGACACAAAAAATGGCAAAAAAGGCGTTAAGATGCGGACCGCGTTTTGCTACTGTATGTCGTCGGCGAGAATATCCACAAAGCCTTCAAATGCAGCATTATGCGACAAGCACGTCCTTTGAGCAGGAATAGTTGCACCGATGACGTCATCATCGTAACGCCACCGCAGTTTGTTATGGCAGATGATGAATTCGGCCCTCTTTTCACAGGATATTTGCCTAAGAAGAGAGTTCTTCGAAAACACATGTGCAATTAAGCATCAAATTGGACTAACCAATGTCTTTAAAGACCATCTCATGAATGTGACCAGTTCTACTTTTTTGAGCATTAAAGTTCAGTTATGGTCTGAAACGAAATCCAGCTCAGTCGTGGAGTTGCGATGAATAATTGGACGTATTTCTGCCAAACGGAACTATGTGCATTAAGACATGAGCCCTGCGACCCATAGGAATACATGCATTACAGGGCTCATACGTCACAATGCACATAGTTCCGTTTGATAGAAATACGTTCAATTAATTTGAATTTTTTGGAACATTATTGAGCTCTAATTTTACATATGTTTTTAATGAAATGAATGTTACAGGATTAAGCATCACTAGGGCTGCTGTCATAAATATCACATCTATATTCGCATCTATACTTCAGACAGGCTCCGACAAAACTATGGAAAAAGTAAGAGCATACGGCTACAGAGAAAGCAAAGTAAGAACAAATAAATTACATTTTCAGCAGGGGAGGCATGTTGTGGGGTCACTATTTTTCCAATCACATTTGCACTGAATCAAGAAGCCTTGCCAATTTATGGAGGCCATAGGCCATACTAAAGTAAGCTTCTTCCATGTCTTTTGTGTGGTGAACAGGGGGAGGGGGCTGTCTAGGCAACCGTTACCTAATTATTCGGGGGTGTCTGTAGCAGCGTTACAGTCGCGCAACAAGGGGTGGGTGCGGTTGTAAAAAATAATAATAAAATTGTGCTACGTAATATGCAGACAGCACCATATTATAGAGCTTACTTCCTCGATTCGTCTCAAACGCCCCTCTAGGCGACCATATCTACAGAGATCTATATTTTATTATTATTGAAGCATGTTCCAAACAGTTTTTACGAAAATATCATAAATATTTTTTAAACCGTAGAAGTTTCGTCGCTCCTCTGGCGTAAAGGCGTATCTCAATGGCATGAATTTATATGTTAAGCAGGGCTCACGTAAAAATGAAGATACTCCCTTCCGCCAGGGGAGCGACGGTTTAACAGGGTGTTTTTTATAATATTTTTTTATTTCAGACGGCCCTAAACATGGCAACCCAACTAATGAGCCGAGAGCTTGAAGAAGACGGGATTTTGGTGGAGTCCATACATCCTGGCTTCGTCATCACTGATATGACTGCGCAACTAAAAGCGACAACCACCACGGAGACCAGTGTCACCAGCATGCTCAAAACTATGCTGGACTTTAGCGAAAAGAATAAAATTGGCTTCCGCTCTTACGATGGAGAAATCATACCATTTTGATTTAAATGTATTTGTGGCAGGCAATTAGCAATTGCTGGCAATATGCATGCAGCTAACGTGTTGTTTTGACAAATTTTAAAAATGAGCACCGGTATAACAGATTTTGTTGGTTATGGCTCTCGATAAAATGATCTCGGCTTGGAGCGCCTTCATTTTTTCGTGATACTCATCGCTTCGCCATGCAATTACTTACGTTGCCTATACGACCTAGACCCAACTGGGGCCATTGATTTCACCATACTCGTGCACGCGTGTGTCAGTAGTTAACATGCATGTGCGGGGAAAATACGTATATTTAAGTTTTGAGAAAAATCTTAGGTACCTCTTGTTTTCTTTTTTTAAAATTATGAATTGTATACTTTTACATTAAAACTTTTTTTACTTTTTTAATTTCACTTAACAGTTTTTAGGCATCAAAGAGCACCAAAATGTTCAGCTTTAGCAAAAAATGTCATGTGCGAACCTCCTCCATTGACTCGATCCACTGAGCTCCGTATGAGCATTCGAATTTTGCCGCGTCCACCCCGTTATATGTAAAAATCTTATTTTTGAGAATAGTTATAAATCTTTTATCTGCAACTTTCAGACGCTTTAGATTAAACTGCTAATACAAGTAATACAATTCACAGTGAAATCGGAAGGAAAATTTCCACCAATTTCCCGGAGCTTTCGTACTTTATCCTAGGAAATTTGGCAACGTCTGAAGGCTCATACGGTCTTGCGAGATGTCCGGTTCCTAAGCTACTTCTTGCCATGAGGAGAACAACTATTTCAAATTCTATTGGGGAGCAGGCAGAGGCGGATCCAGCAATTTGGCAACACCGGATTCTCTCCATTTAAACCTATGCAAAATAATCGATTCTTGTCGGAACGTCTAGCCCCTCCAAGAATCGATAAATTTCCATAGGTTTAAATGGAGGAAAGACAATGGTGCCAAGTTGCTGGATCCGCCAATGGCTGAACCTTTAGAATCATGGAGGTCACTCATACTCGAGACCGAAAGCAAGAAAGAAAAAAAATCCCATCCACCTATTTGTGTGGGTCGGCGGTAGGCAACAGAAAGATCTTCATTTAACCGAATATCGATGGTGAAAGTGCAGAGGTGCGTATCTCGGATGACACGATTTCCCAGGAGAGTAAAAGGACTGTCTACATTCCTCTTTATTGTTAGTAGAAAGGTTATTATTCTTGAGGATAGCAAGAACAAGATGCTATTTCAGACTCCATGTCAGCATTTTGAATAATTTTTCGCGAACTGTTAGAAAATACGGCAGAAATGCCGAGATTCGCGTTTTCGGCACTGAGAATTGACACTTCATCACGAGAAACACATTTTTGAAATCAGTGTTTTAAAAATGTTGTTGGCGGATTTGGATCATTGAAAGACTGAGAAAAGAGTTTCACGCTTACAGTTCCTTATCAGATAAACTTTAGTTTGATCTCATACGACCAGATCAAGCATTGTATGATTAGAAAATGACGTTTCATCACGAGATACGCATTTCCATAATTAGCGTTTTGAACCTGCTCTTGATCATTAGGATCAAAAATAGAGTTTTTAAACCTGGTTTAGAAGCTTTAGTTGACAAAATAAAATGAGTCAGCAATAAGTGAATTAGAGAATCGGCTTCCTTGAGTAACTTTTACACCATAGGTAAGAAGACAGTGCGTAGTCTCTAGAAATATATCGTCTCTACGTGGACCCTCAAAAAATTATATAGGTAATACTTTTTTTTTAAAGATTTTTCCCCAACTTTTTGGCACAAATACCGTCAGAAACCTGCAGCCATCTAGTGCCCGTAGAAACCAGGAGGACATCCATGCTCCATCTATCCACGTTCTACGCCTTTCAAATGGACCAGTGGACAAAGAACCCCTTCTTCAATTCTGATAATTCACAGTTCATCGTCGAAAGCTCATTTTATTCGTGCGAAACTTATTGAATTCACAACCGCTTTTGAGATTTTGAGTAAATTGCGATCTTGTAAACGGCGACTCTCTCAGTCTTGCATGAGAATACGATGACTAAATCAAGAAGACTGAAAGATCACAATCTGAACCGAGAATTTGGACTCCCTTTTTTGAAAGAAAACTTCAGAAACGTAAAATAATGTCTTCAGGTATTTTTCAAAATTACGGCTCGATTGAAGACTCCAAACTTCTGAACATTTCTGGTCAACATCGTTGTGCAGGGCCCCTCACATACGATACAGAAGAGCGCCTTTAATCTATTGCATAATCTAAATGCGAAATTCTGATACCACTGTTCGTGCATCACGACAGTCATTTTGCATAGCCGGCCAAATAAAGGCGAATCATTGACCCAGGCAAACGGGTACGAATTTCAGGAATGTGATACGTGTTTTTTACGGAACGAAACCTCCAGGGCTGCCCCCCCTCCCCGGCCTCATAAAAGCCCAGCCCCTGGGGGTGCCCCATCCAACATCCAAGGAGCCCAACCCCCAGGGGCTGCCCCTTTGGCATCCAAGGACCCCATCCCCCGGGGTATCCTGGGGTAGATCCACAGAATTTGCTGGATACGGCTGTATAAAACGACTGCATGTAACCGAATATGCTGTATAAGACCATGTGCTTACACGCGAAATCTCGATCAACGATCAAGAGAACATATTTTTCAACCCATAGATACCCAAGCCGGGTAAAATTGACCCGAACCTTGCGACAAACCCAGGGCCCGTGGGTTGTATGCGGCCGGTACATACTCAGAGCTTTAGATGTAGGTCTACATATACACTACGGTGGCCCACAAAAAATGAATTTCGGAAATTTATAGCCGTAACCCCCTAAATCGGTTATAGCATGTTCAAAAACACGGTAAATGAAATTTGGGGTCAATCGGGACAAAATTAACCCGACGCACAGTTGTCATTTATCCCCGCAAAAATGGCGAATTTTTACTGTTTGTCAGTAATCTTTCGCTCCCAAAAAATAAAGTCAGAGGGGTCTGCAAATTAAACAGAGGGTAAAATTAGTTCATAAACTACAGTCTAGTGAAGTTTTGGACCCCTCCATGCTTTGGACCCGACGCGCGGTTGCCATTTTCACGCATAAAAATAGTGAATATTTGACTGTTCTTGATGATTTTTCCCTCTCGATAAATTAACGTTACAGATGCCTAAATTGTAATCAGAGTGCACTCATTGCGCAATGCATGCAGTATCCCTGTAAGGTTTGTAGGCGCCAACGCAACTATTCCTCCACGAAAGTATTGCACGGTATCAAATGTAATTGAAGGCGCATTAACGTATGAAACTTGACGGTTACCGTCAACCACTGTTTGCCAAGTGGTAACTTCACGCCAAGTAAAACATTTCACAGGGTCCAAATTTTCAAAAAAGATACTCATGTATAATCACCGTGTTTTAGCGCACTTTTTCGATGGCTCCTGAGATTTTTTTTAGGTCTAGAGAGATGATATTGAAATAAGTCAAATTCACGATTTTGCTCAGAAAAATGGCAACGTCGCAGCGTGTCAAAATTATCAGAAGGGGAGCATTGGGAGCATCTTAGCTACTAATTTCACACTCTGATTACAATTTAGGCATCTGTAACGTTAATTTATCGAGAGGGAAAAATCATCAAGAACAGTCAAAAATTCACTATTTTTATGCGTGAAAATGGCAACCGCGCGTCGGGTCAAGAGCATGGAGGGGGTCCAAAACTTCACTAGGGTGGAATTTATGAACTAATTTTGCCCTCTGTTTAATTTGCAGACCCCTCCGACTTTATTTTTTGGGAGCGAAAAATTACTGACAAACAGTAAAAATTCGCCATTTTTGCGGGGATAAATGACAACTGTGCGTCGGGTTAATTTTGTCCCGATTGACCCCAAATTTCATTTTCCGTGTTTTTGAACATGCTATAACCGATTTAGGGGGTTACGGCTATAAATTTCCTAAATTCATTTTTTTGGGCCACCCTATAAATATACACTCTCAAAAAGAATCAACATCAATAAATGAAAAAAAGGCGAAATCATCAAGTGTCAATACACATCCAGAGTTTGGAGAGATGTATTTGGGCCACGTTTTTTAACTTTCTTCCCAAATCTGAACCAGTAACGTGGCATGCTTTGCGATATTTCGATTGCTGTGGCATTTAAACCTACGGAAAAGGATCGATAAACAGCGTGTTAGCAGCGAACACCTTAATAATCGATTTTTCACCATAGGTTTAAACGGCATAACAATCGATACATCGCAATTCACGCCACGCCTCTGATCTGAACGACACCTCATTTGCAACATAGAGCGGAGCATTAGCTAATTCACCTCGCGCCATCGCGCCTTCAATTTTGTGTACGCAACACAGACATCCATCAAGTACGAATAGTTGTATCTCTGCGCCGCGCCGCCACATTAACGCGAGACGGCGCGGCGAACCCTTTTTCTTTGCTCTGATGCCAAATTGTGTTTGTTTCAATTAATTGTCATTTAATATTTGAACTGGTGCTGAAGGGCAAGGTACGTGAGCGACACAGTTGAGGATAGGAGGGATGTAATTCGGCCAAATTATTTTAATTCGAGTGACACATCAATGTGAAAATTTCAATGAAAATATTTTACATCCTCAAAAACATCCAATGAATGCTAAATAAATCCAAATCGATGTATTTAAATACGGGTCGATTTGACCCGGCTTGGGAATTTCCTTTGAGCACCTCTAAGGATAGGCACCAAATACCACAATCAAATAACCGAAACAAGTTGTTGGGCATGGTCTGTCCATGTTTCCGAACATCCTACGTCTATAATTGGATGGCAATGAGCTGCTTTAATAGACCATACTAATGAATTTGTTTAGCTGCAAATTCTCGCACAAGTAAAGGCGAAAAAATAATAAATGAATAAAAATGTGGAGAGGGTTGAGTAGGTGTAACAAATTTAATGGAATTTTCAACGCATAAGTAAAAAGTTTCATTATTATTTCACTTCATATTCAATACAATTTTGCTTCGCTGTGTCCGAAGCAGAGCTACCCGGTCACAAAATGCCGTCTTCAAAAACCCCTGAAAACAAATTTTAACTAGTTAGTATGGTAATCAGATAATTATACAGTAACATTACAACAATAAAGAACAATTCAATCCAAAAAAATTCCTAATAATGGGGCAAAAATTGTAAGTCGATGATGCAATCGAGTTCTATGAGTTCCGTC